GAAAGGGGTCGGAGCCGGGGGTGTGCGCCTGCCCCGACCGCCCCGCGTACCTGGTTGTTATACGCGTCAGGAGCGAGCTTCTTGTAGGTGGGGGCCATGAGGGTCGACAGATTCTGCAAATTGGACTCCAGTTTCTCCTCCTGTTGGGAGACGAAACGGAGGTCAGCGACATTCCCGTGCCGGGCGTCTGGGGTCTGTTCCGCGTGCACCGGTAGCTGGGCGAAGGCCCAGAATGCCGCCACTCCTCGGAGAGTCACGGTTGGGAATCGCCTCCGAGCTGTGCTGTCCCACAGCCCGGGAAGCCACCCAGCAGTGACGCCATGCAGTCACCCCTGCCAGAGGACACCACGCGCTGTAACCTTCGTTCGGTTCAGATTAAGTACCTTCTTCAACACGGCGGTGGTTTAGATCCAAGCGTGATGATCCTCAGTATTTCCCCTGCTGGAGTTTTGGGAAAATAATGCTCTACGGGGGCCTGAGGGAATGGCATGCCCCGGGGAGTAAACGTGACTGAGGGGGTGCCCGCTGCAGGGACAGCGGCTCAACAGGCCGAACGCCGTGTCCTGCAGCTGTGTAAAACCGTCTCCTGGGGCCTCAGCAGTGCCCAGTGCTACGGGACGGGGAGCTGCGGACCTGTCTGGTGCCTGGGGGTACGGGGTTAGGAGTGGCCATGCATCTCCCTGCAGGGAGAGGAAGGTGCTCCCAACCTGAGGGGCTCCTGGAAAATGAAGGACTCTGATAACCGGCTCTGAAGCCAGAGAACGAGAACCTGGAAGTGTCACTTGTAGTTCTTCCTGGTGAGGATCTGCGCTGTGTATATAGAATCATGGAATGGTTTGGGTTGGAAGGGACCTCAAAGCCCCCCAGTCCCGCCCCCTGCCATGGGCAGGGACACCTTCCATAGCCCAGGTTGCTCCCAGCCTCATCCAGCCTGGCCTTGGACACTCCCAGGGATGGGGCATCCACAGCTTCTCTGGACAACCTGTCCCAGTGCTCCCACCCTCTGCGGGAAAAATTCCTTCCTGATATCTAATCTCAACCTCCCCACTTTCCATTTAAACCCGTCACCCCTTGTCCTGTCACTCCCTGCCCTTGGAAAAAGTCCCCCCCAGCTTTCTTGTAGCCCCCCAGGCACTGGAAGGGGCTCTGAGGTCTCCCCGGAGCCTTCCCTTCTCCAGGCTGTGCCTGTGCCGTGGGACACAGCCCAGGCGGGATGCACGCTCCGGCTGCCCCCGGCTTTGGGTTGGAACAAGGCTGGAGGGTAAAGCCACCTTCCCGGCCCATCTCTGGCTTCTGTGGGAAGTAGATCTGGGAATGCGAGGGAGAGGCGTGCACCCAGCTTAGGAAGTTCAGGGGTTTAGGGCTGCAGGCTGCGTAAGACAGGCGGCTTTGTGCCACAGCGTGACACGGGAGAGCTGTTCTGCAACCCCTGGGGCCGCAGAAGAGCAGCGGGGAGGACAAACTGTACGTCGACTGGGATGCCAGTCTAGACAGCGCTGTTCTCCGCACGGCCGGAAGCGCCTGGCTCCGAGCGTGTGAAACGCCTGCTCGGCTCTGCCAGGACACCCGACGCAGGAAAGCTGCGGGCCTATGCGCAAGCAAGGGGCTAAATTTGGCCGGGCTTGCCAAGGCCCAGCCCGGGCCCCTGGAGTCTCCCAGGCTGGGGAGAGCTGGGGGAGTCGCTGCAGGCGCCACCTGGGAGGTGCCTTGTGCCCCGGCCAAGGACGGCCGGTTCCCGTCACTGTGACACGTGTCCCCATTGCCCGTCTGCTGTAAGAGCCCAGCCTGGGGACACTCAGTGGGGTGGGACTGCAGGTGGAGCGGGTCTCCCATCCTGTCCCTGCTGTCACCTCAGGGGTTCCTCGTGATGGTCTCCGTGCAGCCTGCTCGGGTTCCCAGCGGCAGTTACGTGCCTCCGGCTGGTGAACCTTCGGCTCTGCCGCTGCGGGATGCCGACCCGGCCGGCCGTGCCCCTCCTCTCACCGGGAGAGCCTGCAGACGTGGCTTCAAGTCTCAGCCTTCTCCCGGCTGTCAGAATTCGGGCAGCCAGCTCGCTGGCTCCGTGCCCGAGATCGATCCCGACCCCACGCCGCTCATGCAGGGCTCCGGGCCCTGGTCTCTCGCGCGGTACCGCTGTCTGCAGAGCGGCACAACATGTTTCCGTGCAAACGAGGCTCATTTTAGAAATGGACACCAACCTCTTTTGGGTCATCCCCCATCAGCTTAAACTTTCTTGGAATCTTGCTTCGGGCAAACTTACAACCGTTGTAGTACATGCTCCAGGAGCAACCAAAGGAAAATGAAGCACCACAGGTTTCAGGGTCCAGCCCTTGACAAGTGCAGGTTCGCCTGGGAAACCGAGAACATGCTGTTAGCAGCAGGCGAGTCGCCCCGGGGCGCTCCCGCAGCGGACACGGATAGTTCCACGGGGGCAAAGCAAGGACCTGGGGTTCCCGCGAGTCTGAGAGAAGCGTAGCTTTGCTCACAGCACCCTGCCAGGCAGTGGCACTCCCCGTCCCCCAAAGGGGCTGTGCTGACGGCGCAGCGAGAAGGCAGGAGCCCTCTGCCAGGGGCTCAGCACCAACCCCTGAAACCCCTCTAGCCGTGCGGCCAGAGTTGCACCGAGCGACAGCCCCGTTCATTCCGGTGCGCGGTTTCCTTGGATCCGGACTGGTTCTGCAGGTTTAGTCTGATTTAGTGCCCCTGGCCTCTGTTTCAAGGGCACCTGCTGTCCTGGGCCCTGCCCAGTGTCCTCCCTTAAATACACTGAGATGCTTCACGACCCTGGGAAGGCATTTTTCCCCGATTTATAAGCACATTTACTTTGCTTTTCTCGCGAGGTCTGTGGGTTTCCAAACTGCCTGGAACAGCTGGAAAGGTTGCGCGTATTCCAGGGGAACAGCACGAGCGGAGGTGCCGGGCCCGAGGCGGAAGGCGGCGTTGCCAATTTGGTGAGGGTACCCCCCGTGCCACTTACTCTTCGTTGAGCGCGCACCGCCGGTTCGTGAGCGTGCCGTACTTCCTCAGGGTGTCGGTGAGCTCGGAGTAGAGCTTGTCAGCCAGGCTCGTTGGGATTCCCTCCCAGACCAGGATGAGGATCACGATCACGGCTGTCTCACACGTGTGGCCCGCTCGCTCGCGCACCAGGCACAGTAGCTTTTCCTCCTGACTGCTTCTGCGGACTACCTGCAGGCAGAGCACCCCCCGAGCCCCGACAGACCACGCGCTGCTTAGCGAGGGGAGAGACAACAGGGCACCTCGGCACCGGTGCAGGGGGAGGTGACTTCTGCCTTCCCCTCCCTGGCAACTGCCCGGATCGTGCATTTAGTGACACGGGCCAGGGCTGCCCTGTCACAGAATCACGGAACAGTCTGGGTGGGAAGGGACCTCAAAGCCCCCAGTGCCACCCCCTGCCATGGGCAGGGACACCTTCCACTAGACCAGGTTGCTCCAAGCCTCATCCAGCCTGGCCTTGTTTTCCCAGGGATGGTGCACCCACAGCTTCTCTGGGAACCTGTCCCCGTGCTCCCCACCCTCTGCGGGAAGAATTCCTGCCTGATGTCCCATCTCCCTCTTCCCGTTCGAACCCGTCACCCCTTGTCACCACACACTGTTGAAGCGGCTGAGCTGGACTGGTGGCACGGAGCCATGGAAATCGGCTCTGTGAGGGTGTCCCTGCTCCGACCCAGCAGGAACGTGAAGCTGCACCACGGTACACGCGGCCCCGTTCGGGTAATGGGATTAACCTTCGGAAAGGGACGTG